ACGTACAGTAAGGTGCCTTTCCGGAAGCTTCACGTGAGTAAAAAAAGTGCTTTGACGTGTATATCTATAGCTTAACCAGCGGAATACGTTGACCGGAATATCGAGATAAATGATTCCGCTAATTTCAACCATCTGCAGAAAGTCTCGTTTAAGCATATAATCGGATTAGAACTATGCTACATGACTTTGACTGTATCTTATTAATACTACAGTTAAACACATTGATTCCTTCAACTGCGATCAAAGATTACAAGGATCAATCGATCGGTAAATCTATCCATTTTTCATTCCAATAAAAGTCTTTCTTCATTGTTTAAGCCAAAATATTTGAAAAATAGGAAACGAAAAGTTTGTTTGCGATGATGAAAGATTTCGATAATGAATAGAAAATATTTTTCTGACCAATAAGTGGGATATTTTATGGGTTAAGGTAAGGAATTATTTGACAAATTGAGTAAATAACGATGAGACTCCAACCTTTGTCACGGAATAACTTTTAGTGAGTTCGGAAAATTTTCTACTTCAAATCCTAAATTCCGATTCACTCCTTTCATTTTCTCCCCTTCTACTAGAGTGATGTATAACGGAAAACCTATCTATCACTTACTGTTCATCTTCCCATCTTTCTGCGAAAAATCAACTTTCCAATTACACTCATCGTCGGGAAATGTTACACTTACGCAATTTTCACAACACTGACTCAATGATGCTCACACTATCTGTCGTTTCCTCGCTTATCTCATTATTTTCTCACTCTCAATCCCTAACGAACGTATTTTAAATTCTTATCGATCCCTAAAAAGCCTCTTCAAAATCAACTCTATTTTCTAATATTACGCCGTCTTCGACTATAATTAACGAGTGGATGACGTAGTGAAAATGTTTCATCTCACTTGTATCAATTCGCTGGATGTTGGCGAGCGTGTATAAGTGAGAAGATAAGTGGAACGGGAATGACTTGTTACCGTCGATATCATTTTGCCCTGAGAACAGCAAGAAGATAACGATTGATACAAGTAATATCTTTATCACTAGAAGTTATGTTGTCTCTTTCATACTGTTAATCATCAGATTATCTATCCGATCGGTCATTTTATTTCATAGGTTTTGAATTAATTCTCTGATGGAACGATAACATTTTAGAAGTTAAATTTTAACTTTTGAAGTGAATTCTAATTGCAAAGTCACTATGTGTAGAATTGCAACATGCAGCAGGTCACAATATACTGCGACAAATTGTGCAAATGCCGATGAAACCTATACTTTTCCTGGCCATGAATATTCGCTTTCATTGGTTATTTTCCAGGGATATTGTGTTGGAAAAATTGTGAATCATTTCTGTACCATAAGTTTGCATTCTCTTACCCATCTTAATGTATTCAACATGATTCGACGGAAGTTTCTCAGGGCTAGCTGATACTTCATTTGTGTTTCCTGATATTTTTGTTGCACGCGACATATAATGGTTCTGCGGCCATTAGAATTTGCGGATTGCCTCTCGGATAGCCCATGGTTTCGCCAAAATTTGCGTGAACATGAAAGTGTTCTGGAAGATGCCCATAAGAATATCAAAAACATCGAAATACAATGCCGTGAGCTTATCCAATGTACGAGAAGTAAGTTTTACATTCTTTTACAGTTTTTCCATATTCAGTTTTCATGTACCGCATCTTTTGTATTTTCTGCATTTTTCCTTGCATCGATTTAGTTCCGGTTCTCGTTTTTTTTCCTTCAACTTTTATCATTGTTGCACTTTGCTTACTTTTTCCTTTTGCTGCAATATATTTACTTTTCTATAGTTAAAATGAAATCGACAAGTTTATTGTAGAAAGATACATGAATATTTCCTCTGTCAACTTGAATCTTAGTAAAACAAATGTCGGATGAAAATGGAAATTGATATTTAGTTTGAGTCAGACCAGTCCATTAATTCATAATGCTTCAATTTTTCTCTTCGGGTTAATTTAATTAAACTTGTCATTTCTCCAGTTATATAATAGTTTGTAAATCTCTAGAGGTCTTCATGATTTTACGGATGATGATTTATAGTTTTTTGGATTCAACGGAGTTACAAAAAGATAAGATGTAATTCACAATTTTTTTCCAGAACTTTCTGTGGCTCAAAAAGCATTTGCAAAGTCGTTGAAGGAATTTAAAATTGTCACAATTGGTAGTACTCAGACAGATGATGAACGAAAAATAGGTTAATTTTTCTTTTCAGTTTTTCATTACCTATTTTACCCATACTTTTGCAAGTTTAGTAAAGAATGATGTAATTTGAGATGCTTCCGCTTTTGTACGTTTTACTACTATATAATATATGATAGATGCTAAACGGTTTTTTTATACCTATTACTACCACTGCATCATTTTTTATATCCGCAACGATGGGTAAGGCAATCAGTAAGGAATACGACGTCTCGTCTCAATTGACGTATTTTACCTTAGAGTAAAGTCTTTGTGACAAGATCTGTACCCGACATTATATGAGTAATTTGTGATTAGCGAATTATCATGGCAAAAGCTGAACTGACACACTAGATTTGCAGCTGAATGCGTGAGTAAATTCGGGGATTTTATAACTCAGATCGAAGATCATCGCGAAAAAATTATTGAAGACTCGGAGATTCACTTTATCGAACCTTTACGTAAATTTCGAGTGGAAGGAATTGGCAAGGTTACTTTTGATTCATTTCATGAATAACGATTGCGTTCATGTCGCGAAGGAAATTAATTCTTTTAAAATATGACAATGAGTATAAGTATGTGCGCATACTTGGATGAGTAGCCCAGAGCTCTAGGCAATGCTTCCTTTTCAAACTAATATTTTATGTCTTATTTTCAATAAGCATGTCGAGTTTATACCAGTTTCCAAGGGTTTTAAAATTTTCAAATTCTTTTATTATACGATATCAGTGTCTTTTCATAAATTTAGATAGTGCGCAAAATGCAAATTAATTTAGGTATTACATGTTGACAAAAAGAGATACGAAAAGGAATCCAACAAATTTTATGCATCACTCGAAAAACATTTGCACTTATCGACGGCAAGTTTTTTTTTTTCATTTTTTCGTGAAGTTTAATTTTTTTCTGTAGTCTCGTCTTTCTATTCTTCCCCAATTAAAATTACCATTGCGGTTTAGAACATACAATATTTATCAGAACATGCGAAGCACTCTAGAAATTCCAGACGATGATTTGACTATCCACAGTTTAATTTAATGGTTGATTAAACGAAGTGGTTGAACAGCTGGCGTCATTAATCTTTCTACGGTTATGGCTGTGACCCAAATTTATGTCGGGATTGGAAGGCGCAGGACCGGTATATAGGGGAGCCAAGTTAAGTTACTCTTTAATAGCTTTCTTGAAAGTTTGATATCCTTCCTTTTGAAGGCACGAAAAAATGATTTCAAAGAAGCGGATGCCCAACTGGACATGCAACAGCGAAATTTCTGCAGTTGTTCGCTGGACTATGTCACGGCGATACAAGCGGTTCAGGAAAGGATGAAATTTGAATTTGTAGAAACGTTATGTTCATTCGTATATAGCTGGCTTACTTTTTACCATGTTGGTAAGTTAATGTTTGCTTATATAAAGTAAATTTTAACATAAATTAAGGTCGTAATAAAATTGATTATACTTCATTAAAATTTGCATTGTTTTGTGCTTCTTTTGTACGCTATTGTACAAAGCCTTATTCTTCATTGCCAGTCAATAAAATCATTGCTGACAAAGATGCGAATCTTTTTAGGTCACGTAACACATGAGGACTTCAAACCTTTTCTAAGTGAGGTGCAATCGAAAGTTCAAAAGGTCATATTTTCGTGCTCATTTACTTCATAATTATCTATTTCCATATTGGCAGCGGCTGTCTTTTATCATTTTCAGTCTTGAAGTTCTGTTTATGAGGGTATTAGAAGGAACACTCATCTGCCTGAATCCATTCCACTAGAACTGTTCAAATAATTTGGTCAAATAAAAAGTAAATTCCAGGCGAAACAGAGCTATGAGGAAACAAAGGAATATTATGTGCAGCTCAAAGACAAAATGCTGATAAATCATTTGAAAAATGCGGTTGGTTTTGATATTTGCAAGAGTTCTAAACGTTTTACTGCAGAGTTTTTTGGTGGCTGACACTTTTTCTGGAGATCCAGCTGTGCGAAATTAGGAGATACATAGTATTCCTTATGATTCATCGTTGGATATTCAGTAATTTAGTCTATGTTCAACTACCACACCTCTAAACATTCAAATGACTTCAGAAATCTGGAAATTCTCCAGATGAAATAATCATGGTTATTTGTAAACCGATGATTAATTACTAATATTTTTCGAAAAAAATCTAGCTTATCAATTACGGAGGATTTCTGAGGAGAGGATTACTAGAAATTTTAGTTTTTGTTTAAATTAACCTTATGCACAGATCGATTTTATGGCTTCCAGGTATTTCAAACGGGTAAAAGTGATAATGTTAATGAAAATCCGACGCCTCGAACCATTTCTAGCATTAAACAAGGCTATATTTTTGCTCACGAAAAGAGTAAAATTCCAAGTAGGTTTTTCTAATACTTTAAAAAATATGTCATACTTAGACGTAGTCTTTGTCATGGTGTTTGGCATAATCACTGTATTGCTTTAATACTTCGGGCTCATTGATTGTTTAATACTAATTTTGTTTTCAGAAACAATTAGTAGAGATGTTTTGTCAAATCGATGGACTATGTATTATTGTGTATATCAAAAAGAAACGCGAATATTCACAATGATTCCAGTAAATAATACGGCAAAAACGGTTAGTGGGATATCACAATTATGTTACTCCAATCATTGGCAATTTGTTGACCATTAAGGATCAGGAATGATGAAATTTGAAGATTATTGAGTCTCTTTTTACATTTTAGTTTGTTGTGTTGTATATTTCCCAAAGCTTAGGAGTGGTTTTTTTTTCTCTATACCATACCTGTGATAAGAATACCCAGCAGATACTACGAGGGCAAATGGAACTCACATAAGTTATGTGTAGTAGTAGTAATACATATTTTTAAAAAGTTCATTATTATTTATCTTTCAGTACATTTCATCCCGTTGTAAATAGTTCTTCTTAAATTATGTTCTGCATAGCAGCCTTTCTCAAATTATGTTAATATTTCATTCCAAATTCAGGTTCCACTCAGTTTTTAAAGTTCATTCACTTTTATTTTTCCTTGATTTATCACTTTAGGATATGAAAGGTGCGCTCGGGCAATCTGTTTCTTTTAAATTAAAGACATGCACTCGAAGAGCTTCAGACAGTATCGATAAGAGGTTTTTTTTTCGAAATACTGTTGACATTTCAAATGAAAGCTTGCAAAAGTGACTCAATAATACGTGTAGTCTCAATCACTGAACCATTCTGTACATCTTAGTATCTTTTTAAAGTTATTTTCCAGGTTTTGCTTTGACGTCTTAGCAATGGATCGTACTGAGCAAATGACGTTGCAAGCATTATCGGAAGAAGACCGCCGGCAGTGGCTTGATGCTATGGACGGAAGGGAACCTGTAAGGTTTATATCATTTGGTAACTTATAACTCGTGAAATATTGACTTTAAAGATGTAAGAGATTTGCTGGTGATATGTGCGGAGTGTGATGCACTTTATATATAACTCAGATTTTGAACGTCTCGAATTCTTTAACCTGTTCTAATCGCAAATAAGGGAGTGTCTCAAACTGGGATGACTGAATCCGTTACCGTTTTTAATCTGTTTTTGTATGACATTCTGATTGCATATCGTTTGAAAACATCTTGAAATTAAAATATTAAAAATATCACGGTTGTCTTAATTCTAAGGTAAAAACTAACACGATATACTATTTGTTATCCAATAAAAGTCAAGTATGACGCGAAAAAGTTTTGGTGTTCAGCTACATGAAGTGTTTATCATACCGCTGCCATCTAGTCAACGTTCTTAAACTAGACATTGCTTTTCTTAATGATTATGATTCTAATTAAAAATGTAAAATAGCTGTGATTTCTTTGTTTCAATTCCATTCATTAATGGAGTTATGATTTCATCATATAAATGGAATGTACAAATCCCTCTTTCTGCGCATTTCTTGAAAACAGTGTAACGACAGGAAACATTTTCAGATATACTTACCTGGAGCAGGACCGACATCAAATTGCCCTGGAAGTAAGCACCTTTTTTTTGACTATGTAGCAATGTCAAAATTGAATTTACTAACTGGTGTTTCCACTTTTTTCTTTTTTTTTGATCAAATCTGTGGTGCATGTTTGTTTTACAAATAATATTGGAATTCTTGTCTGTTTCGTTTTTCGTATATTTGCTTCGCAACACCAAAACTTTATATTTATGATTCGGTGTCTCATTGTCTATGAGTTGTGCAGTATCAAGAATCTTGAATCATCTAATTCTTTGAATGGAGATTTTCTTTGAACTGATAGTTACTTTATTTTTGGTCTTAGGAGACCGAACTGCATTTCATTTCCAAACAACAGATGCTTCATAGTACTTCTATAGTAGGAACTGATAATAAGTCAAATCAGATCCATCTCTTTATCAGTGGTAGCGTATTCTTGCTCTTTGATGCAATTCTTTTACCAGTTCTTGCTTCTTCCCCAAAATCTAGTATTCGGGCAATATGCGGAGTATTGTTTCCGACTATATTGCTATTTGTGGTATTGCTATATATTAAGGTTCCAGCAAAGGCTCAGTGATTCAACTCATTCAGTCTATTCTAGCCATCGGTAATGTGACAGAGGATTACAGAATTTTCAAGATCTTGCAATCCATGGTGTACTGCTGTTGACATGAGTGATAATTTCTTGAAATTTTAGTTCACAAAAAATATGCTCCATTTTCTGTACATTCACCAGCTTTTTCTTTATTATGAAATTAAACTGGAAAAAGGAAAAATTCTTCATTTCTTCTGTAATGTCCAAAAAATTAAATGCATATCTACTTGATGTGATAAACAAGTTTGCTGTGGTAGTTATACGTAATATTCCCGAAACTTTTTTTGAACACCTAAAAAACAACCAAGCACTTTGAATGTTGTGATAGAAATGAGGAAGGAAAAACGATATACTTGTAAATTTTTTGATATATGAAAGAAATGAATGAGAAAAGAAAGGGATGAAAAGACAAAGATGAACTAGAAGATGAAGGCAGTAATACTCTGTTATTTTTCGTAATATGGTATTTGTCATTAACTTATAATAATGTAAATTTTTTTTTATGCTGCCTGTGTATTTCCTCAGAATCTGGTCTTGTCTAGTTTCTTGCTTCCTAAATTTCAAATCTTCTCTAATTTTCTAATCGTATTTTCGTCTTATTTTTTTGTTCTCCTGAATCTTTGAAATTATTCCTGAAGAATGATTTGATGAACTTCAGGATCTCAGAGGTTAGCTTTCGCTTTTGAAAAGAAAAACTGGTTAAGAATTCCAATTTTGTGCCAGTTTGTGATGTGCTGGCTTTATGTGCTACCACTCGGCTTTTCTATAATCTTGCTCCCGTTTCTGTTTTCATAGTTATTTTAAATGATGAGTCAGTGGTAAAAGAATTAGTAGAAGTATTATCATTGGCTTTAGGAGCGTATTTATTACATGATACTGGCTGCTGTTTACTTCCATATGTCCCATTACATCCATAGAATCTGTTAATTATAAAAACCTGAAAATAATTTTGTTCTGACTAGATCATTCTATCAAAATTCTGTGCCCAATAAGATGATTCAGTTGCTTCGCCCAAGTTTACCTTATGTTTATATTTACGTATTCATCCTGGAAGTGAGGAACCCAAATCATTTCAATGTCTTTTCACATTTCAAATTATGTAACAGCGGTTGTGCTTTATAATTACTTTCAAGGAAATGTATCTTTGATGATATTTTTCTTCTGTAATGAGATAGAATTCAACATGGGCGTGACTAAATCCATAAAACCAGATAATTGGTGTTTTTTAGATGTTGGCTTGTCCCTTCTTTTTAAAATTTTTGTTTTTGCAAAGTTTTTTCGTAATAGATATATAATTCTTGTTATCTGAGTTACTTTTTGGTATAGATTTATATGTATAAACATGCATAATGCATCGCATTCATGGGAAGAATGTTCCTTTCGTACTATAAAGCGGTGTCATGGAGAGTTGCTTCATGTGACAACAATTTCTTTTACTATTATCGGAAAATAAGATTATCACTCTTAATAATAACATGAGAGTACTTAGTTATGTACCGATAGTCATAAAAGTACTTGTCATCATCTGGTTATTAGTTCAGTCTCCTATTGATTGCAAGGATTTTAGAGCTGGAATCTTATATACAAGATGAATTTGAAAAGGAACTAAAGTTTCCAAATTAGATTGATTCATTATAATTTAATAACAAGAAATTTACGCTTAGAGCACCTTTTGGAAGGCACAGGTGAGGGAACAAAGGGGAATTGTTATTGTTGCGATATTATAATTAGCAATCATGATTATTAAAGAGGGACTTGAAGGTTGATGGTAACTTTAAGGTTAGCACACACAATTTTTCTTTTCTTTGCTTCATTAAGCAGTTGTCAAATTCCCTCAGCAATGAATGCAATAGAATTTCTTTTGGTCACTTTGTTACTAATTGTAAATGACAGTTGTTATACAAATTCATATACTTCGTTCATTAATATACGAAAATTTAGGAAGCACTGGGATAGTAACTGATTGTTGATTGACACATTATTCTCTTTCAGCCAGAGCATTGCTAAAAGCTTTGATAACAAATGTAGAATGATTCATTGCTTGCTTGAAGTAATTTCCGTATTAACATGTAAACATGGAATAATCGCATGATATTATGGATTTTACTTTTGCATTTGTTTCTTCAGCTATCATTGCTTGTTTTTACAAAGTAATCGACCCAGTTTTATAATTAACAGATGGATTGAATGAAAACATAAACATAGAACCTTTTTTTTTTTTAAATAACTTAACAAAATGGATCTATTGTAAAGTTTCAAGAGCACTAGTGCACATATGGTTCTACCTCGTACTTTTCCTGAATTTCACTGCTTAAAATGTTTCATTCGAAAGTTTTGTTTGCTCCAAAATTACTTTTCTTTTAAAAGAAAAGAATCTTCTTTTTAAATTGGGATTCCGTCAAACTTAGCAATCGGAATTTTCCTAAATTTCTAACCTGCTATTCTATCAATACACTTTTGAATTTTCCTTAATAATTTCAATTTTACAATCAGGAAATAATAGGTAAGAGACAGACAGATTCCATTACATTGTATGTAATTCGTACATCAATTGCTATAGCTGCTAAGCTTAGTGAGCATTGGCTATATATCCTTATGTTTTATCAGTTTAGCTGCAATGCTATTCTTGATAGATGATAACGATACAGTTACTTTTAGCGGCAACATACTCTTTGCACTGGCATATTTGAACTAAGCTGTACATTTGCTCAATCTATAATAGATGAAGTAGTAGTACATGTAAGAGTTAATGGGTAAATAACATAAACATGAAGTACATACAAGTATAAATCCTTATGTAAATATGCTTATCCTTTTGTTCCACTCCTATTGGTTGTATTGAAATACTGTGAAAATTATTCACAAATATAAGTTAGGTTTAATTTTTCATACAGGACATTTTTAATATTACATATTTAATATTACACGTGGACGGATGATAGTTGGGAAATGAACACAGTAGATGGCATTTGTATAATGTCGTTGTTTTTTTGTAGATGAATTGATAAATATCTTCAACAACACTGATAAATTGTCTCGGTCACAGATGCAAAACCTCAGAAAGGCATGACATTATTTGAAGGAAATGCACTTATCAAAAAGATTCACTTTCATGTCGCATACTCGCCATGTTTATCTTCGTGATTGACGTCATTTTTGAGGTGAGGGAGAAGCAAAAAGAGGAATTAGAGAAAGGAAGAAATCCAATACTTCATAGGGGCTTAAATTTTGAACGAATTAGAAGATCTAAAAAGATAGGCTGAAAATATACCCAATGCTTATTGGACTTTTTCCCTTTAGGCGTCATTGTTTCAGTTTCATACGAAAATCCTAACATCAACATCATCATCATCATCATCATCATCATCATCAGCAGCAGCAGCAGCAGGAACAGCAATAGCAACATTAGCTCTACTGCCTCAATGATTTATCATAAGCGATAAAATTTATGCCTTATCTTCCATTCTTCTGAACCACATCCTTCATTTTCTCACTATATTCCTAGTCATTTATTTCCTGCTCCATCAAACGTTCTATGCAGTCTTCATTCACAGAGCATACTCATTCATCGGGTATCGCTGATCGTCTTGGTCATACCTCAACAGCTTATAATTTGACCGGAGGTTTGAGAGCTGTATATTGTGGTAGTGCATTTCTGCCAGCATTTGTATTGGACGAATGCCACGGTACTTTTTTGTAGGCTTTCTTTTAACTCATTTTTTAAAGTGGAGAATTTTCCATACATTCAGTTCTGATGAAATATATTTATTGATAATTTTGCAGCAGCTCTCGATGATGGTGGTTTCGATTTTGTGAGGAAATGTATAGAAGCGATAGAAGAAAAAGGTTTGTGAACTTTGAAGGAAAGTTTACAATTGAAATCAATATTTAAGTGGCAAATAAATTGAAGAATTTTTGCGGGTGTTTCAATTTTGAAATATCATTTAGAAATTATATTTTTAAGTGCAAAATTATGCCATTTGAATGGCAACTAGACAGACAAATTTACTTTCAAAAGTACATCGGTTGATTGAAAAGGTAATTTGTCATTGTTAAACGGTGACAGTTGGCAACAGCTCCTCAAGTTAGGGCACTTGGACAGTTTTGATTCAGTTACCACCGAATTCAGCACATGTTGATAATCGTGGTTGTTAAGGTTTGATCATAGGTATATACCTATAATTAGTATAGGTATATACCTATACTAATTTGTCCATTTTTTCGATCGATTAAAATGAGAGCATGAAATGAAATACAGTTACTAATGAAAATACTTATTGAATGCGTTTGAGTCCACGTACACCAAGTAATTGCATTAAACTAGTTTGCTGGGACAAGTTAGACTTTTGCAAATTCATAGCCTTAGTTTAACATCTGTGTTTTCTGTCTAATCATTTATTTTTTCTTTTCCTTTACCAATTAATTATTTGCTTCCAAGTGATAGTGATACTTTTTTTCTTTTTTTTTCTGGCACCTCTCCTTCGCATTATATTTGTCGTTTTTAGATTAAAGAGTATTTTTTACTAAAGTATTATTGGAAGTGAGGAGAGAGTTTCAATTTTATGATAATTTGTAAATATTTACGAAGTGATGTATTATGAATCCATACTTCTTTATAATAAATTGTTGACAAAAATGAAAATCTGACTCTTACATATTAGGCGGTCTTGCTTTAAGATATTGTTTTGCTCATTACTATGCGAAATTTGTCAATAAATGGCGTAAAAACATATCGTAAATCAAACACAAATTTAGTCAGCAAGAATGAGGAAGTGGTATTTACAAACTAATTCATATGTATCAAACCAACAAAGAAAATCTCATTACTTAATTCTGAAGTGAAATTAAATTTTAAAATTTGAAGAGATTTTCTCCCAGCTGGATTTGCAATTTGCTGACTATTCAAATATTTTTGCCACTTCTCTTTCTTTATCACTTTCTTGTCCTTTAATTAATTGGGTGTATAAACGTGAAAACGTACATTAATTTGCAATACATTTTTAAAAAAGGATAGTCAAAATTTACTATTCGAGATTGAATTACTTCTATTTTTTTAGGCATACGTGAACAAGGATTGTATCGTAATTGTGGTGTTACATCTAAAGTTCAAAAGTTGTTGCAAATTGGATTGGACAAACGGCGATCCATTCATGACAAACTTAGCTTTACCGATGATGAATGGGAAATTAAAACTTTATCAAGTGCTCTTAAAACTTTCTTGCGGTATGTATTTTCTGGAAAATATGTAGAATGATCCTTTAAAGATAGCGCAAAATGTTGGTAATTACAGTCTTGCTGAAGGCCCAAAGAGTAGCACTTTTTAGCACACTTACAATTCCTGTGACTAGAATCTGCTTTATTTTGACATTGCATGAACTCCTTGCACTTACACCACTACTTTACGATTTGTTACTTTATTTGATAATCATTTTGACATGAAAACATTGTTTTGATGGTTTTGAAGTAAAATGGTGGAACTGATAAAAATTAGTGCGCAACCATCGAATATTTTCACACTGTGAACATTGGAATCTCTCTACTTAATTTCTCATCCGTGATCCAAAGAATAGTGATTTCCTTGATCCAGCTTTATATGATTAAGTATAGTTATGATCACTTTTTACCTTTTTCAGTAATCTCCAAGATTATATTTTGCAGGAATTTGCCGGAACCACTAATGACGTTTGACTTGCATCCGCATTTTATTAATGCCGCTAAAATGGATTTCAAGACACGTGTCTCTTGTGTTCACTATTTCGTCTATAAATTACCGCAAATACATTTCGAGATGTTGCAAATTATCATCGAGCACCTCAAGAAGTAAATTTCTTAAGCTTATGAAAACATGAAAAAAGTGATCCTTTTTTGGTTGTGAAAATTAAATTTCACATTAAATTCAGCAAATGGAGTTGTCGAAATTATCGAATTTAGATAATGTAAAGTATATATATAATCTTTCAATGAACTGAGTAAGAAACCTCGTTAGTCAACGAACATATTATTTTTATGACTGAAGTATTGCTAACTTAACTCTCTATAAATTTTTTTATTTCCAATCCATTTCCAATTTTCTTCCATGTTTCTTTTTTTTGAATTACAGAGTAGCGGATCATTCCAGTGAGAATCTCATGACGGTGGGTAATCTTGCTGTTTGTTTTGGGCCAACATTGCTGAGGCCAAAAGAGGAAACAATGGCAGCTATTATGGATATCAAGTTTTGTAATGTAGTTGTCGAAGTGCTCATTGCAAATTATGATCTCGTTAGCTTTTTTACTATTTATAGCATATTAATAAGGAAATCTTGTACTAAGATTAAATTTGCAGACTAAGGATAAGGAATTCAAACAAAAAAATAGTGCATATTGAGAAAATTGCCAGAAATGGAAGGAGAGGAGACGAGGAGACGGAAAGAGAGATGAAGCTAAGAAAATGCATTTCATTTGGAGTATTGTTAAGGACAAAAGTTTTTACACTTCTCTAAATACCAATGATTTGTTTAATTTCAAAGGAAAAGAAAAGGAAAAAGAAACGGTATAGGAAGTTCTAAATTGTTGCATGGATAATGGGCTGACTGATTTTCTCGACTGTTTGCTTATCATCATTCTTCTTATCATAAAATTATTCCTGTTGTTTTCCGGACACTATTACTGTTTCGAAAAATTATTGAGCATCTTGTTTTATTAAAATTAAACTGATTTTGAAGATTTTGATAAAGGTATTTTGTTTTTGCAGATATTTAAAAATAAACCAATAGAAATTGATAGTATTCCTTGTCCGCCGAAAACTAATGATCAAGACGAATTAGGTGAAAGCTCTTCCTTTGGAGAGGCTGGCGCTGCTCCTTCTGTTCTTTTCTCAAAACAACAAGCTTTGCCATTTTCTCAAGAAGAAAAGCGGTAATTCATTTCTGACGTTTTTCTTTTTCCTCTGAATATGATTCCGTAAAAAGGTGATCGCAAGAAAAATGTTTGAATTTCAACAATTATCACTGAATCACAATCACATAAGAGAAACTACTGTTAATTGACTGAGACTTGTTTCGTTGAATATAAGAATCAGTGAATGTCACTCACCCGCGAGTGGCGTATACGTGGAAAAAAGTTATGATTAGGACTGTTTGTGCGTTGGAAGTGATAGGTTAGAACTGAAGACAACTCTCATAACAGATTAATTAGCACAACAAACTAAGCGTATGAGGGTTTAAATTGAGGTAATTCGAGTTTTGAAAAATTATTATAAATTATTACAAAAGGTATTTGAAAACATTCAACGGATATTTCGATGAAGGAAATATCACTTGTAAATATCGTTATAGATCACAACTAGAAGATACGTCAAGTTCCAGCAAGCATCCAAAAACAATTACCACTTCAACCAAATATCAGCGCCCTCCCCCTATTTATGACCGAGTGCCATGTTGCTACGCTGATAACAATGATGGTCTGTTTTTACTTTTTATTTGTTTCCATTTTGTTTCTGTGTTTCGCACCATTAAAATTTAATTTTTTCGAAAATAACCTCATCAGACATATGGAAGAATTTTTTTGTTACAATCTATTGTAATTTTATGTTATTTTGAAGTTTTTGCGTTTCTTGATTTATCCTCTCTAGTTCCATTTATTTTCGGTCAAGCCAATGAGAACATACTCCATTCGCGTGCTGTAAAATTATTAACAAATTTTATGCTTGCGTAGTAAAATATTTTTTACGTATGCGAACTGTGAGTATGCAAAACGAGAACTGGTTGTTAAGCATTCTAATTTCCGTGTGTTTTCTAGATTTTAATAACAGATTTTGAAGATTTAAATATGAACTCATCGAATCGTTCGATGTTAGCATATGGTAAGCCGAGTACTTCCGCTGGAACATCTCCTGTTACACCGATAACTAATAGTAGTCTGACTTACCCTGCTTCTGCACTTACACAGAATACCGCAAAATGTCAAGTCAGGCTGCCTTCACGTGAATCACCTCCTGGACATCCGCGGTTCGTTCTCAAGATTCATAGAAAGTTGTTAATTGATTAATATTTTAATATGTGAGGCATATTTTAGGTATTGAGGGTATCCTTTTTTTCTGCCAGCAGGGTGTAGTTAGTGTAACAGAAAAGTATTACAGTATAGGACCCATTGTAAACCAAGACATTTTTCTAGTAGGAAGATGAACAAAAGGCTGCAATCCTGTCCTCATGTTATTAGCGACCAATAAGCCTTAATTAATAATGTGTATTATAACAACGAATGATTATCCTTCCTTGTGCTCTAAGAAACATTTATTAAAATATTTTTATTGATATTCAAAATCTAAATTTCAGAGATGTAGCAGAACGTGAACGTCGAACACAGGTTGGGAAAAAATATGCAGAAAGTTGGGAATCACTGAATTCAGCAACCAGTGGTTCGGAACCATCACCGAATGAACGGTTCCGTTATCATCATCATCCTAAAACTGTGCAGGAACGGCATTCTACTACCCCCAGGGGTATAATTCCTTTTCGTATTTTGGAAGATTAAAACTTTTTGCTTATTATAAAATTGTTCAGTTCTGAACTGGCATAAAAGCTGGGAGCTGCTCGTGTAAAATTATAAATATTACAAAATAGACGGTTGATTTTTAATTACAGAGGATAAAGCGATGGCATATACGAATGATTTTTGCAATAAGAAATTTTATGGGGGGAAAACAATTTTCATCAGAAGTCGAATAAGAAGTTTTATGGTTGTTGAATTTTGTACTGAGCAGATAACCGAATTAGATGTTCTGAAGCGGGATTTTCACATTTTATTGATTAGGTTGTTTTGCAGAGCCTAAGGAAAAGTGGGACACTATTACAATTGCGGTTTTCAGCATACGAATAAATCTTTGTTCACTGCTTTTATCATCATTAACATTCATAATTTCAGCCAAATTAAACACATCATACGCTCCGGCATATAATCCATTTTCATCTGAATCGTAAGTTCCTAATTTTTAAAATTTGTTACGCGCTACTTACATAGCTTATTCTTTCTTGTTTACGTTTGTTTGTCTATGTCGTTAGGGGAGGTGACTTTTCGGTTCTGCTTACATTTTAATTTATGCCTGTTTATACTTGGATGAATCACTTTTATACTTTTCATCAGAAACAAGTTGGCATAATGTTTCCGACTTCTTTAAGCTTTATTTGCTTTTTTCTCCCACTATAAAAGTAACTACTGTTTTCTGCGTCATTTTTCATTGAACTAAGTTAAATTTTCTTATTTGCTTACATTTCAGCTCCATCAAAACTTCTAACTTATTTCCCACCAACGCCAATAACTGTTCTAGTGGACGTCGTAAAATATCACCTTTGCCAGTGTCAAAATATCAGCAATATCGTTGTCTCGAATTATCACGACCACCCAAAAACGTCGGTTTATCAGACAACGGGGATACGGCTCTTGATGCTGCCACGGGTGATATTGGTGTTTGTGGTGGTACCGCTCCTGTTACCGAAGTACCTCTCAGTGAGCTCAGGGTTTCACCATTGTTAACGTGTACTCATACTTTGGGAGCACTCCAGTCAAGGTATTAAGAATCCCTATAAGCTAAGCGTAACACTTCTTCAGCTTTTTGTATCACATTTTTTGCGAAACTTTGTGATTTAAAATTTTTAATTGAAGCAGAAAATTTGCATGCCTTTTTCGTATTTTTTCTTAAGATTTTAATATTAGTAAAAACAGTTCAGCAAATGAATGAAATAACTGACCGATCCCTTTGTCTTTTTATGCATGACTTTGCTCCCTTTCCTTGTTTTTTTTTTTTAAAGAAATTTTTGATAAGTTTGATAAGGAGGGATTAACTTTTTCACTGGTCACCTCATCCTTAAATTAGAAAAATTATGGACAGCTTGGCAACAATACTGATTCAGAACTATTCTCACTTTGTCCTCGCACTTTCTAGCTATCTTCTTAGATGCCGGCTGTATTAGACTTTAAACATGTATTAAACAGTATTAGATTTCAGAAATTATGATAATTTATGACGGTAACTGGTTAGACGTTTGTGCAGAACTTTCATTATCGCGACCACCCAAAAACTTTTAGGAAGGTTTTAGAAAATTTTTTAACTTTCAGAAAATTGTAATATATGCCTAAAAATGTAAGATTATGGGGTTGCAAAACGATAGCAATGAAATAGCCATCACAAATTGATGTGATAAGTAGTCGTAATTATTATTATTTTCTTACAAATTTCAAAATTTCCAGTCGGCGAGTGAAAACACTTTATGCATGCACAGCGGGCCACAATACCGAATTGTCTTTTCAGCCTGGACAAATTATTACTAACGGCTAGTTTTTTCAAGATTGTATTTGCTACTAGGCTAAGTACTACTTGTTCTAGGCACTCCTTTCTATCAGCACATATATGTTAAAGTGCTTTTGAACACAGTATTAGAATACGATCTATTTTGTGCAGATTTTTTAATAGTGTGGTAAGTTGTCGTCAATAATACGGAAGCTATACGATCCCTCAGGATGGTCTGCTTTCTATGGATTATATTACTGTATGTCGGAAACTGCTGTGTATAGGAATATCCTGTAAGAAGTTGATATGAAGATTCTCCAAAATTAGTTTAGTTTCAAGCATAGTTTTATAGTTAACATGGACCAGGATTCAGCTGGTTTCAATTCTTTTTTATTATAACATTAATGCAATCCTTAGCACTGCTTGATCTTTCTAACTTGAACTTTTTCTAGTAAAATCTTAAATTCAGTTCTTTACAGTTTATGAATCAAAAGAAGATGGTTGGCTGATTGGAACTTTAAACGGAAAAACTGGTCTCATTCCAGCGAATTATGTCGAACCACTTCCCTAATTTGACATTTTTGTTGTTGTTACATTAGCATAGTTTTGTCCTTACTCTCCTTTACGTCTTGGAAACCATTGTAGTGCTGAAAAGTAAAATGACTAAGCCATCAGGCGTATATTCCAACATTAGGATTGTTATAAGTTTTTGATTCTTCGTTTTGATTAACATTACGAAGATTGTTCTATTCTTAACTGCTTTCTCAATTTTTTGCTTCCAGTTTTATTTCAAGCCGGAAATTCAAGTGGTGACAGGTAATTTCTGGATAGAAACACGATTTCCTGAAATAAGAATTATTATTCGGGATGCGAGTATTTTTAATGTAGTTCCTCAGATTCCGCAAAATTCAATCCCACTCATAATGAGACGGAAAATCTACATTCCATTGCAGTCTTATTTATCAGATTGTCGTCAGTCTGTTAGCTCATTGATGCATCTTTCCTATTTTTCTCCTTCTGCTACTGACTACTCATTAGTAACGAATGGTGTAAAAGATACAGCCAAATGATGCACTGTGGCGTACATTCTATAGTGAAGCATTGGGGATTCCTTTTACTACTTACACTGAGGTATAGTCTACACAGAGGATATTGTTGAAATAATTTGTCGATTAAAAAATTATGGATGTGCATAGTTTGCAGTGTAGCAAAATGATTCAGAAAGATGCCGGAGTTATTCCCAGGTTGCAGATATTCCTAGATTTGCTACTTATTGTAGACAAAAACAATATTATCTGTATTCTTAACGTATTCAGTATCATGTCAGATCTGCTCGTCTGTGCTATTTTTGTTTAAAGTACTTTTTTTCTTTTTAATCTCGTGTTTGTGTTATTAGTTTCGCTTCTCGTTTTTCGTCATTTTTTTGTCTTCTTTCACTTGATATTTGACGTGTATTTTCTGCTTTACTATTTTTTAAACTATGTTTTGAATTCCAGTCTAATATAAATATGAAATTGTCTCGCTTATATATAATATTGTACTTCTCCCTATTATCTGTAAATCTTGCTGTCTCTTTTTATGGGTGTGTTTTCATGTATAAATATAGTTTTAATACTCATATAATCTCTGTCCAACACATTTCTCTCATAGTGCGACACTGTTCTTTCTTGGCTTTACTAGTATAGGAACCTAAACTATGCAGCAAACCAGAACAGGCACTTGTTCTTCCCCTAAAAAACGTCGTTCCTTTTTAATACGATAACTGCTTACTTCGTCCACTTTTTCAATTGCCTCTGCAAATTCTGTGTGACTTCTGTGGAGAGTATGTCGAAGATTTTCACAAATTTTCAGAAAGTCTGTTCCTTCTTATGTAGGACAATTACTAGCCCCCAACCTTTCAAGATAATCAGATAAACCGCATGCTGAAATGAACAAACACTTGCAAAAACCAAATGTTTAATTAGTTATTATATCGTAAGTAGAATAGTGTAATGGAATTGCTATTTCAGCTGATACATGCCAGCGAGTTATCTGTTTATCGACTTTCCTTTACTTGCAATTTCGATAAATTCTCAATTTGAATCTGTAAACAGTATTGTCTTAAGAATGCAGGATTATTTGTAATGCGAAGAAAAGGCGTGGCAGAAATTACCTGACTTTCTACTGAAGGCTTGATGCCCAGCATACGACAAAAAAAGTAATAGAAACCACTCAATGTCACCTCATTCGCAAAAGATCCTCTGAAACCATGTGTTTCACCTGAAATGGCGATTTAAATACCTGATCAAAATGAAGTAAAAACGACGCGCAAAATACATAAAATTTGCAGGCTGCAAACTGCTTGTGACACACAGATGTACGACACAGATGCGTGTTGTTTTTTCCTAGATAGCACTTAATGATTTTGCTGAGTAATGGAAAGTCCCTTCTCCAGCAAATAATCTGTTTAAAATTACCTAGGAAAACAGTCAATGAAGTGGGTACTCCTTTCGTTTTTAACGCCTCATGCAACCGTATACTTTGCGTGAGTGGTACTACTGGGTCTTCTTCACCATGAAAAAATGCAACGGGTGTTGAAAGCTGATCAAGGTGATTTAGTGGTGACTTTTGCTCGTAAAGAACTCTCTCTTCCGGAAACTTTCCAATGAGTTGTTCGTTGTAACCAAGCTCAAATTTGTGGGTATCCTGTAACGAAGCTTTTTTAATCATATGTGTAAATATACTGCATTTAATACAATCTAATCATTTCACTGAATGGTTTCTGATTGTTTTCAAATTCAAACTTACTTTCGCTAAACCAATTAAGTCGCTCACACCATAAAGTGAGGCTGCTGCAGAAAATAAATCAGACTTTAAAATGGTCGCTAGAAGAAGATAACCACCAGCTGAGCTACCCATGATACATAATCGTTTCGGATCAACTCGCTTCTGGGAAATTAAATGACTGGCGGCATTAATCATATCATTCCTGTCAACAATACCCCAATTACGTCGTAACATATTACGGAAAACTGTCCCGAAACCTGTAAATTTAATTATTAATCTGGGATATGCTCAATATAACTGTTTTAAAATAAATGCTTATTTGCATGTGTCTTTAGATATTCAAACATATGTGTTGCTGTGTTTTCGATATTTAAATATCTACTTTCATGAACTCTCAAGTGTTCAGGTATTGTTACGACTTTTCATAAAGGAACAAAACATTAGGATTTAAATATCAAATATCGAACCAGTGGAACCACGATAATTCACATCACAAACAGCGAAACCCCTCGTGGTTAGGTACTGAATCCTCATATCAAGAGTGTTCGGAGAATAAGCAGTGGGCCCACCATGTGCGACTAGAACAACAGGTGGCAAAGTGCCTTCTGGAGCTGCATATGTTTTGGACTGCAACTATTAATCATGAAGCAGGAACGTATAATTTTAAAACGTTATTTAGTGAATTCGGGAGTACTTAGTGGATTCCAGGAACTTGTTTTGAAATTCGAAAAATCGCCTATCCAAATATAATAATCCGGTAAAACTTCCTGACGACCGATTACTGCCTTTTTTTAAACGATCTAGACCAAAAGTAATACTAATCCAAATAACAGAATATGTCACAACATGTAAAGCGACGTTATAAACAGTTTTTTTCGAGTTGCGTTCTCAAAAAAAAAAGATCCAGATCGGAAGATCGTAAATTTTTGCTGATCTGAAGGAACGATATTATAAATAATTTTAAACCCTTTCACTCATAGTTTTTAATACGAATTTTTCAAAAAAATTCCGGTATAAAAAGCGTGTCATCTGATAAAAATTCTTACAAATGGTGGATAAAACCAGGCCTGTACAGTGATACCATCTGACTGGAAATACATCGCTTCCGGCATTGAAATATCATACTTAGCAATATCAGTGGAAGATCGTGATTCCCGAAGAACATCCACCTGTATATGATATTTATAGTTTGCTAAAATCACAAGCCAATCTATTTATTTCCCACTAAGATAGCTCATGAAATTATCACTAATTCGACTACAGTTTGAACGTATAAGTTTAGTTGTTTCACGTCACAAACAGCAATCCTCGACTCAAACAAAAAAATTTTTCTTTTTTTCACTTCTCGTAGAACGTTTATCTATCTACACACGGCCGGATTCATTAGAAAATGTTTCGAAAGATTATAAGAAAGCGAAACCCATGTGTACGTGAAACACAGCAGACACCTCATAATGTAAAGGGAAAAATCACACAGAAAAACTACACACCATCTTCTGAATCTAATAATGCAGCTGTGTTTTGAAGAACACTGACCTGCTCAGTGTCGAGCTGAATTCTGATCACTGATGACGATTTGGCCGGACCCGACGCGATCGCATAAGCAGTACCACTTTCATCTAGAGCGAGATATCTGAAACTGGTGTAGCACGAGCAATCAATCGTCTTCACTTTTTTATTCCATGGTTTATATACCAATTTCCCAGAAACGTTCATCAAAATGCCTATAATATTGTCAGTGTGCATAAGAGCATTCTAATACTATGATACAAAAAAGATGAACAACGCACAGACCAGTTTTAACTTAAAAATGCACATAATATGCAAGTTATTTCACGCAAACAATTACGCGCTGTCCTGCTTAGGAAGATATTGATTTAATCACAGAGTATGTTGAAAATAACCCCTTTTATTTGAAGCAAAGTGTCGTTCAGCAAACTGCCACAGCGGAGCACCAATTTCGACATCAATTGGGAATAAGTTTTGGCCCAACTTATGTTCAGTTAAATTGACCTAGAAAATAGGATTAACAAAAACTGGCATTCCACTCTGACATCAAGCAGTGGAAATCCAGCTTTATTGGACAGAGTCAGAGTATTAGTCTGCGAAGCAATTTATTCGAGAGAAATGCAAAAGTCCTCACGAAGAAAAATGCATAACTTCATGGAACGAAATTTCCATTCCTTTATCACAATCAAGGTTAAAGAAAAAAACCTCGTATACATTCCACCAATTCGTATGATCCGAAATTAAATATAAATTGCCAGCTGAACTCCACTCCGGACTATGATAATTGACACCTTCACGAGAAAATCGGCAAATCTCATCTATATCACCACTTTCTTTAATTGAGGAAATAACCACTGTTGTTTCGTCCCATGGCTATAGAAAAAAGATAACTAAACATCTAGTTTGGTAATACAAGTGTGATGTACAATTCTGGAGATTTTTTCAAACTACTGCAGTTTAAGCAAAGCATTAAATGGTCGTGAGCCTTCTTATATCCATTTACGGATGTTTCGTATATATTAAGGCGCCACCAAACAGAAAATATCACACCATATTCGGCATATTCCATTCCATCCACGTGAACCACTGTCCATCAGGACTTATACGAGGAAATGCATAAAAGTCTGCACCAGTGACCTGAGCATATTTGAAACTTATTTTGCAGTTTTAAATTCAAAATACAAAAATAAGATAAACGAATTCAGGCTAATAAATAAATCATCAAATAAATCCACTTAAGGTTACTTACAATAGGCCGAACGGCACCTTCCACAACTCTTACGATCATATTTGCGACCTCATTCCCAGAATGTACTTCATAAACAGCGTATAAGTTACCCTGAAATTTACTATTGATTATTATATGGCCTTTTATTCTGTAACTCATCATACCACCATTAAATAATGGCACGGAAGAGGACAAGCCATATTAGTATCATTATCTATAAATGCCTAAAGCATAAACTACCTTGTGATAACACAGATCTGCGAAACGATGTGAATGATCACCACCAACAATCAGCTCAGGTTGATTATTTGCAGCAACTTGCCTAAATATACCACTCAGAGTAATGTAATAAGGGGCATCATCGACAACAATGAATGATCCACCACCGTACTCATGTACTGAAACCAAAAAAGTAAATTAATGATTTAAAACTCCGTTCTTCAGACTATCCACATATAACCATTTAGGAAGAAAATATATGAGGTTTATACAGATAAAGTCGTATACAGGCTGATAAAATCGCACTGCTAGGCTGTAACGTTAGTTTCACTTCCTGATAATGAGCAATGTTTGTATTCCTTCCCTTGTTAAGTTCTCTTTTTAAAACATAAACCGTAAACCTACAGGATTTCTTAAAACAATGAGCAAATGTAAACCACCTGTATTTCTCACACTGATGTCTTTTGGAGTCCATTCGATTATTCCATCTTCATCTTTCTTTGCCTGAAACAATGCCCGTCGACCAGTGGGAAACTGTGATTCCACCCAAAACACTGAATCTAAAATCATATGTTAACGAAAATACGGTTCAGGAGCATGCAATACTTATCAGTAGAAAGAAAAAAAGTAGAAATCGCGGAATAAGATAGAATAACTGTAGTCTTTTTTTTAACTAAGCTAAGATGACGCCATAGATCGCTGATTTAAAACTGGCTGAACCTCTAGCTAGTCGATTAATCAAATGATTTGGTAATTATCACTATGAAACCTTGGTGGAAACTCTACTGGTGTCCGATGTATAGACATACTATTACGAAAATATCCGAACAGTCTCCATTATTAGAAAAACAACTGAACAACAACGAAGTAACTAATATTAACAAAACAAGTGAACAACCCTGATGATAACAATCAAAATTTACTTTCACCACACTGCAGTTCAGAAATTACTTTACAATTTCCACTGCTTAAAATATTTGTGTCGATGGAACTCCACCAACTTCCGTATTCCGCTGTATTTATTTTTGAATGGCTCATTGTATTCAGGATTCGATTATTAACAGCGATCAAGAACGAAGAGACATCCTAAAAATGAAATGAGAAAGTCTACGAAAAACATATTTAGCGTCGTTGAACATCCCAAACCAATCAGTAGAGCAGATTTTTTCATTCTAACCAATAATCTCTTCTAATATACATATCATTTTTTCTCCTAACATTATCTGTAAAAATAAAAACCGATAACTTCTTTGAATTTCCAATAACTGACATTTTCCTGTAGTCAGTATATTACGTAAAACCATAAGTTATCGGAATATGAAGCAATACTTTGCTACTACTTGTTGCGACAAACAAACTTTATTACGCACAATACAGTATGTGTTCCATACAAACAAACAAAATAACATGTCATCAAATAACTTCCCATAGGAGATAAAGCGAACTCAATAAGGCAATTATTTTGCATGCCAGTTAACTTTATCTGTAGTCCACATCTCAGCATTACGCCTCTGATTTTCCCATTGTTCACAAAAAGGTAAAGAATATGACCTGAGATGAATATAAAAAATAAAGTAATTGCAGTCATTTCTGTAGTTGAATGCTTTCAGTAATTGCCACTGTTTGTTATTAAAACGTTATTTCTCTCTATTTACTACACTATTCCACCATTTCTCACCTACTAATTCAAGTATAACCAATTCCAATCAAACCATCATCCAATACATCCCACAAAAGAAACACTTTTAAAACGGTGAATTTCGCGTTCGTTGCATAGAGTTCGTATGAGACTAGCGACTATCTGGTACTCTTGAGGTGGGTTTGTCACGTCGGTAATATAAGTTCGGTTATATGTGTGACTGAGTTGGAAGAAGATCATTCTCAGGTCTTTATACTAGGGATTTAAGTTTAACTTATGTGTTTATATGGAATCTCAAAGATAGAAGTGACTAAAGATTCTGATTTTAGGGATGCAGTGGTTTTGCTTCTTAGCTTGAAACTTCTTTTACGTAGTCATTTCCTATAAGTTAGTTTTTTGCTTGTACTGATTTCACTGTGTGAAATCCCCGACATGCTTAATTTGCATACGGAGCAATTGTTCTCTCCCATACTTTGCATTTCATCATTATACCAGGAATATCATTATACCAGGATGTCGCTTATCCTTACATCAGCTGAGACAGTCTATTGCTTTTGTGCAAATGACGTGTTGTGCTCTACTTTGGCGAAAATGTAGATTGAATAGTAATTCATCAAGTTAAAATTGTTGTAGACAGGCGTGAAATATGGCATCAATTCTTTGTTTGAATCCTAAAGCTGAATTGGCTCGTCATGCAGCGGCGTTAGAGTTGAATGTAAGTGGGGCGAAAGGATTGATGGAAGTGATGCGTACCAATCTCGGACCCAAAGGAACAATGAAAATGTTTGTTTGATTCTGTTTCAAAAACAAAAAGAAGTAAGTCAATAAAAAAGAAGGGAGAGGGTGGTTAGGATTTGATGAATTTGTATGACCTGACTATACATTCAAATCGATAATTATGGTTGCCTTTGACACTAATCATTCCACGTCTTTCAGGCTTGTATCTGGTGCAGGTGATATCAAACTGACCAAAGATGGTAATGTATTGCTACATGAAATGGTTAGTTGATTGTACCAGAGGATGTGGTTATCTTTATGTTGATGGATAAGCGATACAATTAAAATAATCTTCATAAGAAAGTTTTAAAATTCAAGTTTTCATCCAAATATTATTTACCTTTTGCAGCAAATCCAACATCCAACAGCTGCGATGATTGCAAAAGCTACAACCGCTCAGGATGATGTGACTGGTGACGGAACTACTTCCACTGTTCTTTTTATAGGAGAACTCCTCAAACAGGCTGATCTTTATGTTTCTGAAGTATGTTTGAAAATACTTTTGCAGCAGTGGGTTTTATTTTTCTGAAAATTCTCTTTTTGTTCCATAACATTTCAGCATCATTCGTGTTATTTCAGGGTGTTCATCCAAGATTGATCACAGAAGGCTTCGAGTATGCGAGTAAGAAAACTCTTGAATTTCTGGAGAATTTTAAGCAAACTCCAAAAATTGACCGTGAACTGCTGTGCGAGGTATTTATTGGTAAATATGATATCTTAATTTATGTCTATAATTAAGTGCATTTTCTGTGTCTTTAAAGGTCGATGTAGTCCAATTTTTACCATTTTATATGGTAAAGAATTTGTAATGGAATGTGAAAAAAAAAATTACAGGAAAATCTTTTCTTTAGCATCTAGCTGTCTTCAGTTGCATCCGATTTCATCTCTTAAATGCAATTGCTATCTCACATTTTTCTGAAGCGGTTTTACAAACAAATAACTTTATGGACATGAAAAATGTGCCTTTTTAAATTATCTGTGCAAAGGGAGCTATCGCTTTTAACGTGTTTAACTGTGATTTATTAAAAGATTGATTCGTCTTATAAGGAGTTAATTGATTTTTCCATAGGTGGCACAAACCTCACTGCGAACAAAACTAAATCAGAAGTTGGCTGATCACATAACGGACTGTATTGTCGATGCCGTGTTGGCAATACGAATCGGAAACGATCTGCGTCCGGATTTGCATATGATTGAAATGCAGGTTAAATCTTGGCATGATGGAAATGAATTTATGATTTAAAACGAGTTATCTGACGATGCATGATATTAGAAAGATGGATCCACCGGTTTTCTTATTTGGATCAATTTCAAAACCTTACTGCATCTAACTTATGATATATTAACGCTCATTACTCTGATAATATTCTTACATAGGATAATTAAACCCGTAGTTATTTACTTAAAAAAAGCATAGTATGCTTACTTTTAAAAAGATAGGAATATGCTTGATAACATCAAGCAAATTTTGATTTTCAGGAGATGCAACATGAAAGCGATATGGACACTAAACTGATACGTGGATTGGTTTTGGATCATGGCGCTCGACATCCTGATATGCCAAAAAATCTCAAGAATGCTTACATTTTGACGTGCAACGTTTCGTTGGAATATGAGAAAACGTTATAACTCTTTGTTCATATTTGTGCTCTCACCATTTCTCATGCTTTTATCGCTTAGCTGACTTAGTTCTTCATCATTAGCGTTGTTTAATATTTGCGGACAGGTTTACTGCTTGGTGTTAACGTTTCGAAAGTACTAGATACGTTTTTCAAAGCACAGGGAAATCCCTTTTCGATATTCTTAGCAATGGGCTTACTCTTTAGAAGATCCATCACCAAAAAAGGGATCTAAGGTAGTATAAAGTGCTTACTAGTATGGAAAGAATTGTTCAGACATTTTCAGTGAAGTGAATTCGGGTTTTTTCTATAAATCAGCAGCTGAACGAGAAAAGCTTGTTGCTGCTGAAAGAGAGTTTATTATGCGGAGGGTCCAGAAAATTGTTGATCTGAAAAAGAAAGTATGTGATGAGGCAGAAAAAGCTGACGGGAAAAAGCGTGGTTTTGTGGTAATTAACCAAAAGGTTCGTTGTTCCTTCCTGTAGTTTACATGGCATTCTTCGAAACGTCTTTAATATAAATATGGTTTTGTAAAATTCAGATGACAAAACGCATTTGTTGGAAATAAATGCAGTTTAAACTACAAAATTGCAGGGTATTGATCCACCATCATTAGACTTGCTAGCGAGAAATGGTATTCTGGCATTGCGACGCGCAAAGCGACGTAATATGGAACGACTGCAATTAGCAGTTGGCGGTGAAGCAGTGAATTCAGTTGATGATCTTACGCCAAATGTACTTGGACATGCTGGCACAGTTTATGAGCACGTTTTAGTAAGTTTTAAGATGAATGGCAACATTGATGGCTTAACTGTCCTAATTCTAATTCGTAAGGAATGTTCATTTTTTTTATACTGATTAATTGTAAGGTTTTATAAAAAGGTTGCAGTATTTAATTGACTCAAAGAGTTATTACACTCTTAGTATTTTGGAACGGTAAAGAGTATTTTTATCATTCAAAATATTAGTAAGATATTCCAATAGCTATATTTTCATATATTTTCGCACCATCCCTGCTACCTTCATCCTTATCGCTTTATTGAGTTTGAGTTTATCGCAGTTATAATTATTGTGAAATTATAATTCTGCATTTTCCGTGTCCATGTTTCTCAGTAATCTTGATAAGGATACAGCTTCGTAAAGAAGGGTAGGAATGAAATTTTGAGGTAGAAATCACCAAATTTTGTATAATTATGTTTTATTAATAAGGTCCATCTATAGGGCGAAGACAAGTACACGTTTATTGAAGATTGCAAAGACCCTAAATCAGTGACCATTTTGTTAAAAGGGCCCAACAAACATACAATTACTCAAATTAAAGATGCTCTTCATGATGGCATTAGAGCAGTTTTCAATACATTCGCTGACCGTAAGTTCTTACAAAGATGTTCTCGTCATTTAATTTGCACTTCAGTAAATTATCGCAATGCATGTTAACCATTGAATACAATGCAATGAATAGATTAATTTAACAGTAGCAGTTAAACGAATAATTTTAGCATTATCGCGAATTCAATGAAAAGTAGATGTGTCCCGCACTGGTGTTCTGATAAGAAATATTCCACTGAATTATATTAGATATTCCGTCGATAAAAGTCTACTTTTTCATCTGCATTTTCTTGTACTTTTCTTGTAAACGCAGCAGAAAATCTACCATTTGTCTGTATTGCAGAAGCAGTTGTACCGGGGGCTGGTGCCTTTGAAATTGGTGCACACTGCATGCTGAAGAATGAGATGGACCAAGTGAAAGGCCGAGCAAAGTTGGGAGTACAAGTAAGGCGAAATTAATATTGTATATGCAGAAGATTTTGTCAACGTGTTTTTTGAAAGCTCCTGTCAAAAAGAATGTATTCCGTGATTGTTTTAAAAAAAATAATTTTTCGTATTATTTCCAATATTTAGGCTTATGCTGATGCACTGTTAATAGTTCCAAAGACGCTAGCGACGAATGCAGGATTCGATGCACAGGAAACAATAGTGAAACTAATAGAGGAACGGATTGCTTGCAAGGGTAAAATGCCCGTTGGATTAGACATCACATCAGGCGAACCGTGTAATCCTAAGGTAACACTGGCTTTTCATGGTTGAGAGTTTCAAATCGTCGAAATCATCCAAATTTCATGGGCATTAATTTTTAAGCTTTTCGGATTTTTAATTCCACTCTGCTAAGTTCCTTAGCCATTATCGTATACATTATTCTATCTGATGATGGCACGTTCTCACACAGATCTCTTGAGAAAGGGTATAACCGTCTTTTAAGCTTTTGGGTTGCTTCGACTGTCTAGTTCCCATCAATAAGTTTTATAATATTGTCTTCTCGAATTACTTGATATTTTAAGAATCCAGGACGATTTTTCATGAAGATTTTGGCTGGAATATGATTTCTAAGTTTTTTTTGTGGAGCTTTTATTTAGTAAAAGTGAAATGTATATGTTTTTAGGGTATTTGGGATAACGTTGTTGTCAAGCAGAATAGTTTAGCATCAGCTTGTGTTATCGCGTGCAATTTGCTTCATGTTGATGAAGTAATGCGTGCTGGTATGACAAACTTAAAAGGCGGTAAATAAATGGAAATGATCGCTGGCATGAATTTCTGTTTTGCTTTCTTTATTGTTTTATTATTCCATTGTTAAATTCGTTGCACCCCTTTATGGAATGACACATTTCGTATTTGTTATGTAGAGTTTTAATCAAAATTTTTGGAGATAAGTTTCCCTTTTCTCTTGGAAATCTTTACGCTTTTATCTCTTCTAACTATTCTGATCTCCATGAAGGATAACTGGTGAATTGTAACAATGCAAGTAATATTTCTATGTCAAAGAAATTGGACTAAGAAATGTTTGTTTGTTTAACTTCCAATAAATGCTGATTGCAATTAGTGGTATGTTTCACTCTACATTATCCATTTACTTTTTAATGAAATAAGAAAAAAAATGTGTAATAAATTAAATGGAATGATGTACAACAGCTTCGTACTGTCTTAGTTCCGTTAAATCTTTCATCGCCATGTGACTATTCCTGTCGGATACCCAGCGGCCATTCATTCCCGGTATACGACTGGTCGGTTTGCCCCAGGTCATTCCTCGAAGTAGCAATACTTCATCTACTGAAAAAGTGTACTTTCGTGCTATTTTTGTGCAGTTTTTTTTATCCTTCAATTTTATTACGACACTTTCCTGTAAGTTGAGTGGTGTTGTTCAATTCATTCCAAAGGATTGCCAATTTAGCTTTCAAATTGATAGTTTTCAGCTTCGAACAATAAAAGATTACCGTCGGACCACATAGCATATACATGGTCAGCTTCCCGATTCGGATCATTATTTAAATTCTCCAAAAATGCTGAGTAGTTCTTTTGTTTACATTCGGAATCAGGATAAGCGCAAATTAACTGCAGCGAAGAAATATTTTCTTTATCTAATTAGTTCAAGATTTCCATTAATTATTTGCAAAATATTAGACCTGCTTGTTAGACTTTGGTAATTAACAGGGACACTTGAAAAATTCTTAAATTGGTGCAAATATTTGGTTAAATTTTATAATGTCAATGAATTTTTGAATCATTATTTGTTACAAATATCAATTGAAGTTAACATTAGGAAAAAAAGAAAAGATTATTACACAAAAGATAGCTCATTCACAACTGTAAATGGTCATTTAAGAAAAAGTTGCAGAAATTTGGATGACATATTCGTGAAGCATCAAAAGGTAAGTTTATAGCGATAAAGGATTTTACCTGATCTTCACACGTATATCCGGGATACAAACCATCTAAAGCATTGCACCAGGCTGGTATCGTTTGTGCCAATTGACAGACGCAAAGACCGTAATTAGCGCCGGAAATACCCAAAAATGTATCCACACGATGACCTAACGGTTTCCCAAGAACACAATTTCCATCAGTTGCTATCAGGTTGCCACCTTTTAGAACTTTTCTGAAAAGATATCTTTAACTGTAGTGATTTCATTTTAAACTTTTTATTACGTTATTAAATCTATGAATAATCTAAAATAGAAGCCAATTTCAATTAAATTACTTTGAAACTTTCTGCAAAGCATTTAGCTATTTACATAAGCATAATTATGTTCGAATGACATTTTTCGTTTATTACCAATAAATTTGATTATCTCTCTATTTTTGAAAATATATGATATACTTTTACTAGTAAAAAAAAAAAAGATTAATTCTTCCTTTTGTTTTCATAAAAATCGAAAAAATTAATTCTTTTTGTGATTAAACAATCAAAAAATCGATAAACTCCAAAAAATTACTTTTACGAAATCAAAACAAAATATGAATAGACATTTAAGATTTCCCTATTCCCTAGTAATACGATTAAATATCAAATATGTACTTTACATCGGTTAATTTCATGAAACAAAGCTTTTTGTACCAAAATTAATTTTTAAAGCTTACAACTTTCAGATCATCGATAATTCTGGATCTATTTTTTAATGTTACATCAAAAATCTTCTATTCGAAACTAAAAGATTCATTTAAATGTATCTCATAATGTAAGGAATGAGTACTTGTGTTTAGTCATTAATAAATTTTAAGTATGAATTAAAATTTTAAAATTTTAAGCATGAATTTTAAGTATAATTTTAAGTATACTTTACATTCTCTTCAAACTATTCCTTATATTTTGTCTAAGGTTTTGAAAGAATAAGTAAGAATACCTTAATGATTTCATTGTTTGTTGTAAAAAAAAAAGAAATTTCCCATTATTAAAATTCAATAAAAATTCAATAGATATTACCTCATTAATGGTACAGCAAAAGAATGTGCAATGACGTCAACCTTAGATGCACCAGTGTAATCCAATACAGCAATTAGAAATTTCCTCAAATATATGAGATTAGCACAAGTATGCATGGTACTATAAGCAGTCAAAATATTTCCACCTGCCCAGGTATCACCCCAAGTTGTTGCATATAATTCAGCTGAGGTATAATTCTGCTCCAGGAAATATTGAACTGAACGTGACCATCCGGTTGCTAAAGGTGGTTGTATGTATAATGCTGCATCTGCATTACCATGTACAAAAATTACCGGTTCACGTGATATCTGCAAACAGGTTGCAATTTTTATCATTAATCTGCTTTTAAAGATCATCGAGTAGGTAATGATTAATATCTCGTTGTGATCATCTATTCATTGAGATATCATTGATCATTGATCTCATGAAATATTCAATCATGATTAATTAATAAGATACATTTGCTAGAAAATAACTAATCAAAATTCCTTACTTTTTGACCTCTCTTCTTTCGACCACCAAAGCTACCATTTGGACCAATATCTGGTCGATCAAAATTTAAACTTTCATAACCATTTGCGACAAGCCAATTTTGAAAATCATCAGTAAGTGGTCCACTTGGTCGATTTCGACTACCTTGTCCTTTTACCAATGAGCATAAGTGTAATATTAAAATCCAAATACGCCTATAATAAAAGCCTAGAAAATGTGACACCTAAGGATGACAATTTCATAAATAAGCTGGAAGTTTAACAGTTTAATTAATCATAATAATTAATATTTATAACTATCCACATAAAAATGATATATATATATATATATATTCTATCTCTAAAATGAATATTGCAAATTTGGAAGTACTAGTTAAATCTCAATTGCAACTAATGAATGTATTTATTAAATTAAGTTTGATTTTAAAAATTTAACTCTCTCTCTCTTCCTCTCTTTTTTGCTTAAAACAATAAATATTTCAACCTTTTTACTTTCATTCATCATTCTCCTCTCAATATCTGTAATGGATAAAAAATTTTTTTGAGGGAAAGAGAAGAATGAAAAACTCACATAAGAATGTTGAAAATGATCGGATAAAGATTGAGTTGAAAATTCTTCAATTGAAAGTGAATTTTTCACAAATACAAATGATGTTGTGATTGACCAATGATAAATGGTGGAGATACTATTGCCCCTAATATTTCTACATGTAACAAAACCAATGATGGGTTGAAATTTCGCCCTGAATTAATTGAATAGTGGAGAATTTAAATGATGAAATTACGATTGCCGAGAATGTCCGGGAAATATATGAATGAATAATCAATCCTTTCTTGTTTTCACCTTTTTCCAATCTTCTTACGAATAAATTCATTATCCATAAAATGAGCATTGTTTAAAATCACTAACCATTTACTCTATTACAATTACTACACTTACTATTTCTACTCTTGTAGTTTTACTATGATCTTTTCGATGATAGATTATGTATTACTATATTGACTTGTCAACATTCAAGTTTTAGCGACAAAATTCATCCTTTTCTCTTACCAATTCTATCATACTAAATGATTACAATAAAATTTTGCTTATTTGAAAATTCATATTATTCATGAACAGTTTTTGCATTATTAAAAAAAAAAAATTTTGATTCACTTTTACGAATACATAATAAGAAACCATTTCAGGAAAAAGTTCTTGATCCTGTTTTCACATTCATAAATTAAAAGTTAACTTAGTACTAACTCTTTTTTTTTTAGATCTTATTATATATCTTCCAAAATGATGAACATTATTTCTTCCCTCTATTACAGGAATTGAAAGATTTCTCAAAAAGAAAAAAAAAATGGTAAACACATTCCATTGTTTATAAACTTTATGGATATGATATACTGGAACTAATTAATGAGAAATGGCTTTTGTAAATTGTTATCAATCGTATTTCCAAATGATATTATTCGTGGAATAACTGATAGAGAAGAGGGGGGGGGGGAAAAAAAAGGAGAAATGCATCCTTTTAATTAAGTAAAGTGGCGGAACTTCTTTGAGTTTAATTAATTAGGTAAATAATTAATCATTTCATGTTTCTCTTCATTTTCACTTTTATTTAATGAAGGAGATAAAAAGGGTCAAAAGGTATGTATTCATTCTTTTGATTCAAGCAATTTTTCTTTATTCATTATTTTAATTATTTGCTATTTCTCATAAATTAACTTCATTCATGTTGTTAATATCGTTCAAAAGGTTTACTCAATCAATTATCTTCTTTAGGCTTACCGTATCCCATGAATTTCACAGTTTAAAATTCTGGTAACAATATTTCACCATATAAAGTTTAACCATTAGAAGATGACCAAGCAATTATTAAGGTTGTTGTTTCACCATATAAAGTTTAACCATTAGAAGATGACCAAGCAATTATTAAGGTTGTTGTACGTTCAATTATTATCATGCATTTCATACAACGCATTTTTTTTTTTATTAATTACTTAATCAACGAATTCATCAAACAAATGACATTGTAAAATGCATTCATAAATGTTTATCATCTATTCTCAATCCCGATGATCCGCGTAACTGCGGGGAATATTAAAAATTGCGTGCCATCTTTTCTACACTGTAATTTTATTCCAAGTTCAACAATACGCCAAAAGTTTTAATTAAAGTATATTTTCAAATTGGCAAGAGTTTGATAGTCCATACTGTTCGGATATTTTTGTAATAGTATATCTGCACATCAGACATCGGTAGAGTTTCCATTAAGGCTTCGCGGTGATAATTACCAAACCATTTGATTAATCGACTGGATTGTGGTTCAGTTAGTTTTAAATCAGCCATCTATGGTGTCATCTTAGTTTAATTAAAAAAAAAAGAACTACAGTTATTCTTATTTCAAAATAAAAATTTAAAATGGTCATTGGTCAAGGAAAGATTGAAAAGCATTAATCTATGATCCTCATTTTATCACCACAAAACACAATAATATCAACAATTAAGTGATATACTTATTGTATATAACATCTTAAATGTAACTTCCTTCAATTTCACATAACATTAAAATCATTACCAAATGCTTACATACTGATAAAAATATGAATGGTCAGTGTAAATGATAAAATTTTTTTAAAAAAAAATGGAATAATATTTTTATCATTATTAAACTATAATTTGTAAATTTCTCATTAATTAATTTTGCGAATTTCTTGTTAATTACAATCACCAATATGATCCAAATTATTGTTTCAATATTTTATTAATTAATTTTGCGAATTTCTTGTTAATTACAATCACCAATATGATCCAAATTATTGTTTCAATATTTTATAAATATTCTTTGAAATAAATGGCTTATAAATGTTATGAAAGTTATTTTTTTTTTAATATATGTGCGAAGTTGCGAAGTTATTCAAAAATTTTAAAAATCAACAGAAATTTAATTAAAAAAAAAAGAAAAGTATGATATAAATTTATCAAAATCACTTTCTCTCTCTTTAAAGAGGAGAACACTGAGGAAAATATTTGTGCTGAAGTGAAATTATCCCTTTCAAGTATTATCGATACAATTGAACATATATACAAATTATGTTTGGAACACAATTATGATGAAAAGAATGGAAGGCACTAACTGATATGATATTTGCAAATCATTTTGTACCTGTAGAAAAGATAGAAAGTATAACTTACTTAGGAAAGTGTAACTTACTGTAACTTATAATATGACTAAAGTATAACTTACTTGGGAAGAAAATATCATATGTTCTTTGCCTAATTGAATTGGTATTTTGGTTATTTTTTGATTTCCTTAAAAATTTTTTGATTTCCTTAAAAACCGTTGATGTCAGAAGAGTTTAAAAAGTGATTACTATAATTAAAGCTTAAAGAAAACGTAGTAATCAATGTTAATTTTAAATAATACTTACAATATCTTTCATTTGCAGTTCTAATTGCATTGTGATTCAAAATTCAAAGTGTGTATTTGGTTTTTTTTTCTGAAAAAATAATTGTAAATCTTTTATATTATATATACGTTTGGAATATTTTATTCAATTAACATTTTATTCAGTGGCAATTAACAAATTTTTTTATAAATTTTAACTGAACTGAAAAAGAATAATTGCCAAGTGAGAGATAGAAGTACCGTAACCCTCAACAAATATTATCGTACTCTGAAGTACCATAACCTTCAACGAATAATTTTTGTTATAAACAACAGCATTATCTTTTATCCGGAAATATATCCAATTCGCTGGATTTTGTTGCACTTTTTCTGATTACTTTTTGATGCATAATGAAATATTATACCTATTTTTGAAACTTATCGTATGACATTTTCCTGATGTCTAAATCCTGGTGTCTTTTTATGTCGGTAATTCTGATAATCCTGGAAATTTCTGCAAGAATATGGAACAAATTACCGTTCATGCAGTTCTTGAGAAAAAAAAACAAATACAGTAATTATGCAATAAAAAAAAGGAAGCGTTTTGTATTGTCAACGATACCTAATACAGTAATTTAATAACAAGAAAGTAAGATCTATTTGGAGAAATATTTAAGTTAACGGTGTTGTTTTTGTATGCTTTTTGATCATTATGATTAACATCAGGAAATTGTCATCAAATTTTATTTTTGTCGTTAAATTCAATCTTCTATTTCCTAACTTTAAAGTTTTTCAAACCTAAAAAAACAAAAAAATTTAATTTTTTTTTGTCAACTTTTACATGGTACTTTGTCAACTTCATTTATGTTAACATTGTCATTGTATAGTACAAATCATACAGAGCCTTAAAGTAATGCAATGAATTACTAACTTCCCGATTTATTACTACTATCAATAATTTTTTTAAAGGAATTCAAATTCTTATGAACTTTGACCTCATGAGAATTTCTATTCTCTACATATATATATATATATATATATATATCTAAGTGGATTCAAAATTTAATGACGTATTTTCGTGGAGATTTACGTAAAATCTCCGAAATTTAAATGGATGCATTAGGATATTAATCAGTAATCCAATTCGTGGACAACAACATTAATTAATTTGAATATTAGCGTCATGAGTTTGTTTCTATACAAGCAAGATTCATCTATTTTTGAAATATGAAATGGATCGTAACTTTAACGTTAAATGATTGTCAACTTCGTTGATACTGTAATACCGTTATCCATACATACCTAAGACAGTATAATATTTATTATCAAACAATCTTTTCCCAATCAAAAGCAGATATTATCCTTTCAACATTTATAATATTCAAAAATACATGCATCCTTAAAAATTACGAGAAAGCCCAGATGTATTATAGTCTAAGCTTAATATATACAGTTCCAAAATAAAACTTACCAAATAGCAGGATGTAAGCATATTTCCAGTATTTGTTTAATTAATTAGCTTATCCTAGTACACCTATTGGAACAAATTAATTAATCAAAGTTAAGCTACCATTTATAGAGGTACCACGGATATCATCTTATTGCATATAATCTTAAAAATAAACGCAAGAAAATGGATACTGTAAAGCCATATTTTAAACACAAGAAAGTGGATACTGTAAAGCTAGTACAATTCCTAAACGCCAAAATGAACAATGGATATACATATTTACCTTACCTATCTTATCTACTTAAACGTACAGTTGTAGAAATATTTTCTAATGTAAGAAATATGTTTGCAGGATTTGCAAAAGTAATATCCGCAAAAAGTAGTATCTACCATATGAACTTTTGTATCCCATGTTTACTGTATTATGAACTTTAACCTATAATAGATATTGCCAAGAAGATTGTATCTATGAATACGTATATCAACTTTGTTTACCAAATGTTATGATAATATGGATTAATCAATAAATATGAGTAAATTTCAACTAATTCTGATAAGAGAAAAAAAAACATAACATATGTAAAATATTAATCTAATAATTTCATTCATTTTTTTTTGTTTGCAACTTTCTACAGAAACTTCAACAGTTTTTTTTTCCATTTTCACACGCTCTTCTGATGTATTGACCTCTCTCATGCGACAATGAACAAATGTCAATGATTTACAGTTGACATGACAACGATTGGGAGTTGTTTCTGCCTCTCTACTTGGTAAAACTTCAAATTTGCATAAGTAAGCTTTCACTACAGTAAGTGATTGATATGACAAGGACAATTTAGTAATTAATTTTTCAATAAAACAAATTAATGATGACAACAATATGAAAGGGAAAATCAATGGTATTAGATATTGTCTATGCAACTAATCTAGTTGTAATACAACTTTAAAATGCTTCTGATCTCCCCGTTTCTTTGAGTAAGGAAGATTCTGGTACAATAAGTTCTAAAATTACAAGAATTAATGTATTTGTTAGCACATATGGAATGGAACTCTTTGTTAGAATACATGAATACAATTTTAGGTTACATTTTACATCATACAGTAAATCCATCCCACATAAACAACATACTGTACACAACGGTATTTACAGTAAGATTGGAAATTTACAACAAAACAATTACTGATTCATTGCTTCTGCTTGCAATTTTAGTGACAAAAGGAGGGATAAAGAAATAAAAGTTAAAGAGTTTTGCATCCATTCAAACTAAGATATATTCTCCTAACAAATAACTGCAAACTTAAAAATTAAAAAAGTTTGAAAAAAAATTTGAAAGAGGATAAAACAACAATAATATATGAATTATACCAACAAATGGGTTTCATTATTCTTGAAGAAAATGATTACTATTGTTTTTCATAGTAACATTAGTTTATAGATCACTTCTAAACTACTCCATTTAATTTATCTACAAATGGAAGTAATCTGAAATCAAATATTCCTGCTAATTTATTTCATTCAACCTATCGTCAGGTAGTTTCCAGAGATTTATTTCCCATCAATTATCCATGCCAATTGATTTAAATAAACATTTCTTACTATTTATTGTTAGATGTCTCCTTGAATTCGTAATATTTTCTCTTTACTAGAAAAAAATACATTGAAATTGAAGCAGTGATAAAAAAAAAAACGTTAAATAACTGATTTTATGGTGATACCAAGTAAATTATGCAAAGTAATAATTTCATTTTAAAAATATCACTAAGAGGAACTAAAAAGAAATATGCCATATCAGCGATTACTATCATGAGGAGATTACTGTCATCAGTGATTACTATAATGAAGAGATTACTGTCGTCGGTGATTACTATCATGAAAAGATTACTGTTATCGGAATTTGCCAAGTATCGATAGCATTTGAAATGTTTCTCGTTTCAAATATAATAATAAAATGCTTTATCACTTTTGCATCTCTTTCATTTGAATGAAATATAAAGAGAGTATGACGATATCTGAAGCATATAACAATGAAATGAAACAGTCTCTTGAAAAATAAGCATTTTTGAGTTTCCCCGTAAATTTTGAATTTTGAAACAAAGAGCTGTTTCAGGAAAATGTTCAAATTTTGCAAAATACGAAATGTAGCAAATAATATGCTTCAGGAATTGAAAGATTATGGAATCAACAAACCGAATTAAGAAAGGAAAGAACCGGAATTCATGAAAAAATAAATAAACAAATAAATATCAGTGAACTAAAAATGAAATCAAACGATAGAAAGTGGGAAGAAAATAAAAGATGAATGAATTGATTAAATTATTTCATAAGAATGAAATTGTTTCATAGAAAGATATGGTAATTCATTCGATTACATTATCATAACCAAAATCTTCATCCCTATTGATGGCTTATTTTTTGTTAATTAACTCAATTATGAAATTATTTTGAAGCCTGCTTTGATTCGTATTCTTATCCACAAACAAACATTTATCCATTTTGTCCACATGATATTTAACTTATTGCAAACATTTTCCCTCACAATATATACATACGTCTAACCTGTAACTGTTAAGCAAAAAAAAAAAAGAAACGAGGAAAAATGAAACAAAATGGTAGACCAATAAATGAGCCAAGCACAAATTAATATTCCTAAGAAAACAGATAGATATAATTTTGGAGTTTAAACTTTCTCAAGTTGACGATTTTTCATGAATTAGCCATGATTAGCAGCCAAACTTAAGCATTGCTAATAATTTCATAATTTTGTGGCATAAATTTTCCTGATAGTATCAGTACTCTCAATAATTGCAAAACTATATTCCGTGTGTTCATGCAAGATTTCTTGAAATGTTGAAGACCACAAAATCCTTATCCTAGTTCAATGGGAAAAAAGCAATCAAAATGCATTAACACTCAGTTAATAATATATTTTTTATAAAAATCACAACAATAAAAATGAAAGATTGAAGAATAAATAGGAACTAAGATGAAAGATCAAAGAATGGATAGGAACTAAGATGAAAGATCAAAGAATGGATAGGAACTAAGATGAAAGGTCAAGGAATAGGTAGAAATTAGGTCTGAAATTAAGAGTCACACTTCGCATATTCCAAATAAACATTTCATCAATTTCTAGGAATAAAAGAGAATAAAACTAGACGAATACCTTTTATAAGTAAAACCTAAGGATCCATGATACTATACAAATTAAACCTAATAGTTTCTATTACGATCTCTCAACATGATGAGATGACATACAAGCTACAAGCAATATCTTAACCAATCTTTCCCGCCTCTACTTTTCCGCATCTCATCCCGTTCTTTATGTTTGTAAATACAATTACTCAAACTGTTCTTCTTCGTTTACATGCAAGCTCATCAGCAGACAGATTCGATTTATTTTTCATTCTATCAAAATTACACGTATGATCGTAGTAATCGGGCGGTCTTGTCCATCATCGAAAACACGAAGTACTGTAGGAATAAATTGGCATTAACTGTGCATCATTTACTCTTATCTGATATGTAAATTTCGAAATAAGTAGTTTATTATACATTCTTACAGTTAG